ATGACAATGGTTTGCTTGTCCCTGGGCAAAGTCCACGGCTTGGATTTTTTCTCCTCCATCAGCTTATTGTAAAGGAAAAATGCAGTGGTTTGCTGGGGTCATTACCTACTGGGCTGTCTCTCTTTCCATCTCTTACTGCGAACCTTGAGATGCCTCCTGCAAGACGCCTGGGTGAGGTTATCCTTCAGCCTCCCTAGGGAGTGTGAGACCCTTAAAGTGACAGCCACCTTCCCATAGCTTGTTAGTGTCTGAACTGGCAAATTCCACGTGCTCAACAGTTTTGTTCAGATTTCAAAATATAAACCCAGGAAAGAAGGCTACGTGAGAACAGGAGGATAACTAACCACAAAAATGGTGATAAGATAGCAGGTATGAGCAAGCAGTAAGAGCTGATTCCTTACCCAAGAGATAGTTAAGATAGTCCAGAGGGAGTGGAAGAGAGGTCAGAAAGAAAACAAGGGCTGGGCTCCTCAAGAGAAGAGATTCCTCCAGACAAGGAGGGGAGGCTCCAAAGGGTGGGTGACCAGACAGACAGAAAAGGACAGGGCTAAGCAGCCCTCCCTCGATGAGACCACCAGGAAGAGACAGACGCAGACGAGAAAGCAGTGCAGGCAAGCAAACTCTCTGTGATGTCTCCAGTCCTGCCCACCCCACCCCATCCCTGGACTCAGCTTTGGGGAGTGGGAAAGGGGGTTGCGGGGCAGGACCATACATCCACCGTGCCCTGCCACAGTCATTTGGAGATCGGCTCAGTCGTCCTCTCAAAAATGTCCACAGGAACACCTGCTTCAGCAGAGAAAACACACTGAAGGGTCTGGAGCTGCGGCCTTGAGCCGCCCAAACTACCCAGCATGAGAAGTCTTCAGTTTTGTCTTAATAGTTCACGTCAATTTTGTGTTAGATCATGGCATGTCCGTGTTGGTTTTCTTTTTAAAAATCCTTTTCCCTTGGAGCTTTTGGCAAAACCGAAGCTTGAGTGAGCTGGGCCCAGGTCGCCCCGCAGCTCGGCACACCCGCAGGCACTCTGCCAACACGGCCCCAGGACGGGGTGTTTGAAGAAGTTTGCATCTGTCCTGGACTCCTCTCAGATGGGATCAGGAAACCAGGACCCCGGATGTGCCAGGCCACTTCCCGGTAGACAGTCCCTGGTCTCAAGGAGCCCGAGGTCCCATGGCTGGGGCAAACCCAGGCTGTGACCCAGCCCCGCTCCCCTCTACTGGGTGCTGCTCCCCACGGCCCTCAGGGGCCCCCAAGTCTACCTGGCCCAGCAGAGGGGGTCTACAGAAGGACGCCAGGAGGTTTCCAGCTCATCAATGAGACGTTCCTGTGGCCTTTGACCAGAGCAGGACACCCTGACTACCAGGCCCTCTCCCCGCCCAAAGAGGCAGGCAGGGTTTTGTCCCCTGATGCCACCATTATTAGGAAATCGCAGCTCAGGGCCTGCCCAGCACCCACAGGACACAGTTCAACCCCAGTCTCACAAAGCCCGTTTTCAGGAGTCAAGCCAGAGAGACAGCTTTGAAACCGAACTGTCTCAAAGACGAATCACCGCTGAGCCGTTGAAAAGACAGAAGGAGTGGGAGGAAGGGGGAAGGAAGTGCCAATCTGGCTAAAATTGGAATCAATATAAATAATTAAAATCATCGGGCACATTCAAAGTATCTCTGTGGTCCTCTCTCCCTGGTTCCCCTTAACGTTAACCCTTGTGTTCTTCTAGAAATGGAGGTCAAATGAGGTGTGACATCACAAAACTTTCATTATATAGTTTGGTCTTAGGTAACTTCCACATGATTTGGGAGGTTAAGATGAATTTCTGCACATTTTGAAGTGATGGAAATCCTTTCACCCTAAGAGACGATCTGGGGAAATTGTGGGAAAGAACACACTGTACAAGCAAATGTGACACTTTTATCATTCTTTATAGATCAAAAGTCAGTCTTTGCTCCGCAAACAAGTATTCCTGCTTCTGTGACTTAAGAAAGTACGAGCTGACCAATCTGGGCCTCGGTTTCAAGTCAGACTAGAGGAAAATATTCGTACCTCCCCAAGGCTGGAGTGAGGACGAGAAGGGGCAGGCAGAGCACACAACATGGCAGTAAATGCGGAGTAAAGAAGGTTATCATTAAAGTGCGTGAATGACTACGTTACAAAGCGTCATAGAAGTGACCCTTCGGGAAGACTATCACAGGAAAGGCTGCTTCTGTCCCACACCGTCAGACAGGCCAGCACAACCAGTTACAGAGTCCCGCGGCTCCTTCCTCTGCATCCTCCTCCCAGGACCAGCCAGGGCCCTCCACCTCAGTCTCCCGGACCATGGCACCAGCCTGACTGGGCTCTCCCTGCCTCCTGCCGCCACAGCCCGGATCAGGTCTCCAGACTGGCCCTGGGACGCGGTCACCACACCTCACCGTCTCCGCTGTCCAGTGAACCACATGGCACGTCCTCCCAGCTCTGATCACTTCTGGATTCCCATCCTGCCCTCCAGGAAATGAGCACCCCAGACCTGCCGGAGGGGTGATACACTTTTCCAGGAAGCATTTCTGAAGCCCCAGCCTGGGTGGGGCATCGAGGGTTCCCCTTTCCGTGCTTCCCCAGAGCACAGCGCTCTCCTCCCAGTTTATTCAAATGATAGCCTTAGGTTTCTGTCTTGTCTCCGGGTGGTGACCCTGTCTGGGTCATGTGTGTCCCCTCAGTGCCCGGCCAATAGGAGGGTGGGTGCAAGGATTCAGAAATGCTGTCAGAGGATTCTGGAATTGCGGGGGCAGTGTGAATAACAGACTTGCCCTCTCACCCCCATCTTTCAGGCCCGGAGTGGGGAAGGGAGGGGACCAACAAAAGGAAGGGACACAGCAGTGATCGAGCACCCAGTAACCCCAGGCCCCAGGCGGGGGGAGCAGGTCTTACCCAAAGCAGGGGCAGGTCCAGGTGAGCTGGGCGGGAAGTGCAGGAGACCAGATGGGAGGGAGACGCTGGGAACACGCACAGAGACTGGGGGTCGGGGCTCAGAGGCAATGAGTTACTGGTGAGACCTGGGTGTGAGGCATGTGGTTCCCAGTGAAGCCCCAGGAAGCCAGGGAAAATCAGCAAATCCCAGCAGGTCAGATCTGCTGAGCCCAATTCCTTCTTTACATATGTTAACCAGTCCCACCTGAGGGGTTCTTTCCACCCTGAGTTGAGGCCACCAGGGCTGAGCCAGAGCCCAGGGCAGGATCTCCTTCAAGAGAGTTTAGAGAAGCCCACCCAGCCCCACCCAGCTCCCTCCTGCAGCCTTGGGTGACAAGGCGACTCTCCATGCAGGTTTGCCAGAGGAAGGACACTTAACCTTTGAATACCCTCCAGTTAGCAGTCTGCCCTTCACTTACTTAACTGTTACGTTACCACTCCACTCTCTTTATTAATTTCGGTGAATGAAAGGCCCCTCTGGTTGGGACTCATCTTTGTAAACTTGGAGGGATGGGCTTGCTCGGCTCAGGCAGCCGACCCCGCAGGCTCCGGTGTGGGAATTCCCTAAAGCCCTGGTTCTCAATTGCAGGCCATGTTGCCCCTGCGGGGGACATTGGGCAATGTCTGGGACATTTCTGGCTGTCACTGGTGGGGTGGGGGTGGCATCTAGAGGATGGAAGCCAGGAATGCTGCTAAACAGCCTACGATGCACAGGATGGCCCCACAACAAAGAGCTATCTGACCCCAAAAGTCAACAGTGCAGCGATGAAGAACTTGCCGTAAAGGAACGTCAGTCCGGGGAGGCCCCAGGCTGGAAGGCCCTCCGATTAGGCAAACAGGACCTCGGATCTCTTGTGCCCCCCTTTCCCTAGGCTCGAACTCCCGATCAGTGCCAGGTGTTCCCCTCAGCGCTGGAAACTTTGATGAGAAGCCCCCAGGGCAGTGATAGGATCGCACTGTAAAGAATTGTCACATAACGTGATCGCATCTGGGAAGAATGACTTTTATGAACAGGTTTGAGCAAGAATGTCAGGAGAACAGAGGCCAAAGATTTAGGAAATAAGCCCAAAGGGTTATACACATCTGGGGAAGGAAGCTGCTCCCATATCTCCTTTCAACCTCTGCTCCCCCACGGCAGGGGGAAGGAGCCAGAGTTACTTACACCAGGACCCAGCAGGAAGTTTTAGGTGCTTGCATTGATTGTGTGTTGATGGCTGCAGCATCCTGGGAAGTGCTCAAACAGACTCTTTAAAATTTCATCAGCCTGGGTTAACCTCTGCCCCCAGAGAGGTGACAGCTCATGAGGGAAAAAGACCAAATTCACTCCTGGGTCAATTCATTCCTCCCATTTTCCTCTCCAAGTTTGTCTGAGATAAGCACTAAGATAAGTATTATCTTTTCAGATAATACTCTGCCTTTAAACTCGCTAATAGATTTGCTGACAATTGACAGCAGAAAATAAAGTCTGACTCCATGTACCCACGGCCTGGGGAGCGGGCAGCCAAAGCAGGCGTCCTGAAGGGCAACTTCTCGGCAAAGTTCAGTCCTTGGTTAAAAAACTGGTCTTGAGGACGATCTGTATTGAACTCGATGTATGACCTCTATTGTCACCTGAATGTTTTAATCACAGAGCCCTTTCCCTTCCCCCACCACATCACCTCGCTGGCTAAACCACAACAAAACAACAAAGTTCCCTGAAAACTATTAGAGTCGCCTGTCTTAGAAGTCCTACTATTCGTTTTCCCCCAAGTTCTAAAATATTTCTCTCTCTTCCAGTATTTCTGAAGCTCCTGAAAACTAGGATGAAAGGCACGGAGAGGTCCACACGGCAGAGAGCCGTTCACTGCTGCAGAAATACCTTCTGAACGTCTGCTCTGTCGGAGGCACCGGCCGGCCCTGGGCACCGTGGACGAATCCAACACCAGTGAGATGGGGGTTGGGGGGGGTCTTGGGTCAAATCTCAGCTCTGTTACTTATTATGATACTAGGTGAGTAACTTATTCTCTCTAATCTTTACTTTCTCTATCTGCAAAATGGAAAGTGGTAACAGTTTTTACCTGCTTAGTTGGTTATGCGGATAAAGGCAACTGACAGATGTGAAGTCTGTGTAACAGGGTGGCACAGAGGATGCCCCCAGCACAGGTGGGCTGCTGTCCATGCTCACATATATCCTACAGGTTGGCCGGTCACCCCAGCATCCCTGATGGCGTCTGTCACCCCCAGACTGGGGAATAATCCCCTGCAGTAGTTTTAGTGTCCAGTTTCAAACTCCCACGAAGTACAAAATATGCCTCTTCTCTCGTAGGATCCTGCATAGAAATGACCATGAATCGGCTATTGTGCACGACACGGGGTCTGAGGGGAGAGATCTGTGCCGACCAGAGACATCTGGAACAACTTCCAGCAGAAGGGAGGAGCTGATCTCATCTGAAATCAAAATTAGCAAAGAAGAAGGGGGATTTGCTAAACGTTTTCTCTGAAGG